GCGCGGGTTTTACTTTGGCTCGATTTTTAGACACGTTTTTCAGCTGCGCCCGTACGTTATACCTGGCATTACAAGGCCGTATATTATTTACGGTCGATGGACGCGAAGCAAGGAATGTATATTGATCTCTGACGCGAAATAGTTCCGATAATATACTTACGTGGCTATACAGCCGGCGACACTTTGCGGCCGCAACAAAGACGAACAATGAAAAAAAGAATAATGAATTTTACATGCGTTGCGAAAGTTTTGCAAAGTCTCGCCGTTGGAAGAGGAATTGCGTAACGGAGCGTCGTGAGGCTTCGTTCCTCAACGACATTGATGCTAGATGCTATTTACGTTTGCGAAATCGTTCCTGTGCGGAGGACTTGGTCGCATTAATTAATGTTACTTCGTAATTTAATTAATATCGCGTGTTGGCATCGGGGCATGGGATCCCGTGTAGATTTTTATTCGCCAAGTTCAAGTTGGACGTTATTTCACATTAATTAAAATCTCCTTACATCCTGTCCTATGCCGGTGGTCGACGATAAGCTGCGTCGACGAGAATAACCGGCTCGTATAAGTAACGAGAGCACGGGAATGCCGACCCGTCGTTTTTCGTATTTTCCCTCAAATTTTTCTCACCCCGATCCACGGACTGCTACCTCCGAGCTGAAGAGTGCGGAACTCTTGCCTCGTTTAAAAAAAAAGAGAGAGAGAAACTAGCGCGAAGCGTCCGTTTAAAGAGCGGGATCGGCGTACAGACTTTTATACTATATACTATACTAGACTGCTACCTTCAGGCTGAAAAGTGAGGCAAGAGTTCCATGTCTCGTTAGGTAAATAAAGCAGTCAGTGACACACCGTGCACACAACTTCTTTATTTACCTAACGAGACATGGCGGAACTCTTGCCTCACTTTTCAGCTCGAAGGTAGCAGTCTTAGATAGAAGTCTATGCACCGAACCCGCTCTTTAAGCGGACGCTTCGCGCTAGTTTCTCTTTTTTTTTTTGCTTCAATTCTGATAAATAGTCACAGTTATATACCGTTACTTCGTGCTGCGGTATATCGTTAATCGCTTTAATTATTACTTACGCCGGACGAGAGATACCTGGTCGGGTAATTAATTGCGCATCGCGTGCGCGGGTTCTTATGTGCGAAAAACTTGGTCCGTCGATCAACTCTTAAATTTAATTCAACGGCGGTTGACGTAATTGCTCTATTGACTTATCATATCGCCGGCATTTGCCGGATCGAGTAGCGCGCGCCGTGACTGTCACAGGCACGAAACCCGCGCGCCTATGAAGGGATTGTGAAATATTTAAGTACGGCTATCTCGTGTCGTTTAGCAAAATGCATTGTACTCCAGAACAATTGCAAATTGCACGCGGGGATTAAGAATGAATATCAATGATGTGGAAATTACGGTTACGCCGTGACGAGTTCCATAGTTCCAAATATAGCATACGAGTCGGGTTTACGAGCGGCTTGTCGCCCAGATATCGCGGGACGAAGTGGTCACCGGGCGAATCGACGACGACTCGCCACGCGATTTTCGTATCTTCCGATTTTCCATCGCGCCAACGTTAAAAGAGTTGACTGGCACGAGACGGCCTTTCTCGCCGCGTGTCGCCCGATCGAATTACTGGCCGATAAAAGCTTTATATCCTTCTCTATTTCCCGAGACGTTTAACGTCCACGTGATGTATTGCGACTCGTATCGAGAAAGAAAATCCGTCGGTTTTCTGCTTACGGAAAATTCAACAATCCTGATTGAAACAGTTTAAATGCACGGTCACGCGGATAATTTTTATCGGCGCCCGATCGGATTACCGGCCGATAAAAACTGGATATCCTTCGTCTTGGCCTTCCGAGACATTTAATGTTCTTATCGCAGTTTACATCACGCTGCTGTTTCTAAAGAAAAATTTATGAGTTTTCTATTTCTAGAATATACCTAGGGATCTAAGAAAATCTTGAGGTTTCAGGTGCTATGTAAAAAATTCCCTTCCGAGGTCTTTAAAGCTCCTTCTTCTTTTTTCTCTCTTTCTTCGTTTCTAAAGATCTCTTTTTTATTATTTCTAAAATTCGCATCGGATCTGGAAAGTATTTTGCAGTACATATGTCGGACTGACGGAGAGAAACAAAGTGACAAGAGCCCTACCGAAAATCGTGCGCAGAACGAAACGATCACGTGAGAATCGCACGATCAGAGCCACAGTAAACATTCCTATCATCCCGAATACACGTTCCAAGGAGAGTACGGGAAAAATTCTCACGAGGTCTCTTCTAAATCTCTCCTTTTCCGCTTCTAAAGATCTCTTTTCATATTTTTACAAATCGCGGGGCTGAAAAGTACACTGAGAAAACAGTCTCTGAAAATTTATTTGTGGCCTATAACGTTTATTTCACTGAAATAAACGTTATAGGCCTCAAATAATGTTTATTTTAGCGAAATAAACATTATATGCCACAAATAAATGTTCAAAGACTTTTCTCTCAGTGTATCTTGCAGCAGCGTACATTCGATTAACGTGGAAGAAGCGAAGCGAGACCTTCCGAAAGTCGCGCGCAGAATGAAGCGATCACGGAAGAATCGCACGATTAAAGCCACAGTGGACTTTCCTATAAAATCCCGAATACGCGTTCCGAGGAGAGCGTGGTG